GCCGCATCCAGCCCCCGGGCCTTAGGTTGCCTACCCCTGCTCTAGTTCCTCCTGCACAAGTCTGTGGTCAACATCTGCTACACACTGACCACAGAATTGCACTGAAGGATCTACAAATGCCTTGAGAATTGTTTTCTCTAGGAATCTCTAAGTCCTCCAGCACAACCTCTGGTGGATGTTAACAGTAAAGTCATGCTGGAGGACCTAGGGATTCTTAGAGAGAACATATTAATCAAATCCATTAATAATCAAATCTGCAAAAGTCAAAGTCACAAATGTGGAGGGACAACAGTATTTGGGACAAGCCATGTTTACTAGGTGATGTATAAAAGTCATTCTGAGCATATTTAAATGGCATTATTCTTATTATTTCATCTTCTCCACAGCTGGCACTTAAAGAAGGTTCCCTTCAATGAAGTTGAGGAGGGTGTCTTGTGGCCCTTTGCACAAGCCCCTTCAAATTCTCCTATTACCTCTGCAAGTCGAGAGCACTCGTTTTGACTCAGCAGGCCCAGCTCTGCAAGCAATGTCAGCCAACACAGCTTTTCCTAAGCAACACACATTAAGAGGATAAGGGAGTCAGCAAGCTTTTATTGGCGCAAATTTTGGTTTCATTTCTAAATAGAGAAAATAGACCTGACTGCAGGGTCACTACAACTCACTCACTCATACGCTGGGCTTCACGAAATTGCTCACTGCTCTACAGCACAGCAAGAGATAGCAGGAAATTGCCCTTATCATCACCTCTCAGCCCTATAAGATCCTTTCCAGTCACTGGCTGAAATCTGTTTTTTAACACAGGTGAAGGATAAGGCTCTGCCAGAGCAGTTACAAAGGCTGTCTAGGAAAGAGGGATGCCGGAGATACGTGAAGGCACAAGAGCCTTCCCATCCAATTAGTGATCTTCTGGGAAGGCTGAGGTGTGCCTTGTGGAATCCAGCTGCCATCATCCTCATTAATTCATTTATATTCTACCTTTTCCCAATATTGTTACTGAAAGTGGCTTACAAAATTTGATGTTTTAATTAATAGGTTTTAATGTTGATATTGGTTTAATTTCTTTTTAAGGGGAGGGAGGGAGGGTTTTGGGATTTTTGGAGTTGTATTTGTATGGAATTTTAACTGCTGTAAGCCGCCCCGATTGTTTGAAGAGGGGCGGGATACAAATAATAATAATAATAATAATAATAATAATTATTATTATTATTATTATTATTATACCAATACAGATTAAAGTACATACAAAAACATCAGTAAAAACATATAAACATTATTTTAAAAATACAATTTAAAAATCCATAGAATTAAAGCCACTCTAGAAGATAAACTACAGAATTAAAGCCACTTAAAAGCCAGAAGATAAACCATCAGGAGAGAACACCATTCAAAGGCCGTTGCAGTCAATTTCTATAAGCCTGTGTGTGATGTCCTGTCTCTAGGACAAGATTCATCAAGACTCTGCCACAGACAGACTTCCTTAAACATGCAAAGTGCTGGGTATGATCTATAAAGCCCTACATAGATCAGATCCAGGTTATAATCTACTCAATGTTTTCAGGTCCTCTATGGGACATTTATTTCAGTTGGCCAAAACTAGGCTGACAACGGTTACCTAGAGGACATTTTCTTCAGCCGTCCTGATTGCAGAATGATCTGCAGGAGGAAATTTGTTAGCTATATATGCTGCCTGAGTTAAAAAAAAAAAAAAAGAACAGTAAAGGCCAACACGCCTATCCATATGAAGTTTAAATTATAAGTTTTACAGTATGAATTGGTTTTTTTTAATATGTATATGCTCTTAACTGGTGTATGTGTGTTTTAACTGGCATTATGTTTTTAGCTGATATTATAGGTCCATTCTGTTACTGTCCCCAGCCTTGATCCATAGAGAAAGGTAAAAAAATTCACATCATCATCATCATCTGAAGGATAACCCTACCTGTATTTTGAGATCTTCAAGGGAGGTCCTCCTCTATAACCCACCAACCTCACAGGGAAGGCCTGCTCCCAGGCTTTGGCACTCCCATCCTAGAGACTGAACCTGTACCCTTCATGGTATCCATCCTGCAGCAGAGTTTTAGTTTGGACAGACATTTGGGAATTGACTACAGATATATGGTAATGGGTTTTTAATAATTATACTTTATACTATGTATCTCTTGTTTATGGTTAGTTAATGGCTGTGCTTTTAAAAATGTTTTTAATTTTATTGATAATTTAATTACATTATAACATTTGTATGTTTTGGTGATGTGAATGTTTATCTGTGTATATTTTAACTGTTTCATTTGCCTGTAAATTGACTTGAGTCCCTGGGCTAAGGGGGAAAAGCAGTAAATACAGAAGAAGAAATCGCCAACTAAATTCATGAATGGGGAAGGGTTGCCAAAGACCGAATCAGATAAGCTTTATGTCCTTATCATTTTCAATTATATACAAGTTGAAAGAAAACTGAGAACTGTGGGATAGCTTTATATATATAGAATATAGTTCAGAGGATGAAGAGAGGGAATTCTTATACCCCCAGTGTTACTTAGCATGTGAGCTCTGTCAAAGGAAACTATCGCTATGTGGAAGAGAGGGACTTAGCACAGGAATAAAGGGTGCAGGAATGTGAGAGGGAGTTGCCTAAATATTCATAATTATAATCAATTATCACAGAATCAGGGAGTTAGAAGGGACCCCACAGGACATCAAATCTGACCTCCTACTCAGTGTAGGATCTCCAGCTAAAGCATTCCCAGCAGGTAGCTTTCCAGACTCTTTTTTTTTTTAAGACTGCCAGTGAAGGAGACCTCACCACCTCTCTAGGCAATTGGTTCCATTGCTGAACCCACTCACTATCCAGAGGTTCCTTTTAATTTTTAATTCATATTTACCCTCCTGTAACTTCAAACCACTAGACCTAGCTCTACCCTGTGAGACAGCAGAGAACAGGCTGAACATGCCTTGCTCCTTCAATGTACCTTTTATCATCCTTGTTGTTCTTCTCTGAAATTGCTCCAACTTGCATGGAGACACCAACTATCAAGAGATTAACAGATTATGAGAGGGAAGCCACCCTCATTTTGTCAGTTTCCCACACTCTGAATATGCACACGGGACTCACATTTCTTGCTATGTAGTACATCAAACTTGTTGTCGATGAAGGTCAGAGCTGTCAGGATCAGGACTGGAGAACACACAGCATGAGGAACATGTGCTGTTGAACTGTGATTCTTATCAGTACAGCCAGTGGCTAGGAAAGATGGGAGTTACAGTCCAGCATCTGGAAGGCCATGTCTATGCTGGCTCCTCAGAGTTTCAGAACTGGTTGTTTTTTTCTTAAATTTGCATGGAGACACTGAGAACCAGCTTAGGAAGGTGAGCAGGTTTAGCCTGGGGAACAGAAGGTTAAGAGGTGGCATGACAGCTATGTTTAAATATTTGAAGGGGTGTCAGATTGAGGTTGGAGCAAGCTTGTTCTCTGCTGCACAAGTCTTGCTTGATTCATTTCCTGCATTCTCCTTTCCTGCACCTCCAACAATGTACAAGTACTGAACCTGTGAGGAAGGGGACATTGTCAGGGGTTGGCACTCTCCTTTTAAATATTTTCTTTCAAAAATGGAGACCCTGACACGTCAAAGCATCTGGAAGGCTGCAAATACTCCCTGACATCTCTTTCTCTGCAACAGGCAGCCCACCAGTGCCACGGGCGAAAGCGGAGGCTATTTTGGCTACTGATCCCCATAATTTAAGGTGCCACTATGAAGTCTTGCCAGTGTGGTGCAGTGGTTTGAGCACTGGACTGTGAGTCTGGGGATCAGGGTTCGATTCCCCCGCTTGAGCACAAAAACCCACTGGGTGACCTTGGGCAAGTCACACTCTCTTATCCTCAGAGGGTGGCAATGGCAACCCCCCTCTGAAGAAACTTGCCAAGAAACCCTCGTGATAGGTTTGCCATAAATCAAAAATGACTTGGAGGCACACAACAACATGGAGCCATAGAAACTGTGGAGGTAGGCGTCTCCCATAGCAGGGGTAAGATAAAGGCCCAGGATAACGCAGTTGGAGGGGCTGAATAATGCTCAGAGTAATGCTGTTGGATGGACAACATGATGCTGTTGAAGGAGCAAGATGATGGCCAGGATAACAACACTGGAGGGGTGAGGTAATGGCCTTGGAGGATCATAACATCATAGAGTTGGAATAGACCCCAGAGGCCATCTAGTGCAACCCCCTGCCATGCAGGAACTCTTAATTAAAGCATCCCCAACAGACGGCCATCAGACTTCTGTTTAAAAAACTCCAAAGAAGGAGACTCCCATCACTCTCTGAAGGAGCGTGTTCCACTATCGAACAGTTCTTACTGTCAGGAGGTTCTTCCCAATGTTTAGGTGGAATCTCTTTTCCTGTAGCTTGAAGCCATGGCTCTGGGTCCTACTCTCTGGAGCAGCAGAAAACAAGCTTTCTCCATCCTCAATATGACACACCTTCAAATGTTTAAAAATGCTTATCATATCACCTCTTAACCTTCTCTTCTCCAGGCTAAAAATACCCAGCTCCCTAAGTCTCTCCTCATAAGGCATGATTTCCAGACCTTTCACCATTTTGGCCACCCTCCTTTGGACATGCTCCAGCTTGTCAACATCCTTTTTGAATTGTGGTGTCCAGAACTGGACATAAGTCTTATTCGAGGTGAGGCCGGACCAAAGCAGAATAGAGTGGTACTATTACTTCCTTTGATCTAGACACTATGGGCCTTTGCAGACTGCCAGAAATAGGGTAAATTGAGTCCACTTTTAGGGTTAGGGTTAGGGTTAGGGAATCATGGGAACTGTATTTTATTGTGGCACCAGAGCTCTCTGACAGAGAAGGCTCAATGTCTCAGAAAAAAAAACAATTCCCATGATTCCCTAGCACTAACCCTAACCCTAAAAGTGGACTCAATCTGCACTATTTCTGGCAGTCTGCAAAGGCCCTATATTTCTATTGATGCAGCCTACAATCACATTGGCTATTTTAGCTGCAGCATCACACTGTTGACTCATGTTCAACTTGTGATCTACTAGGACTTCTAGATCCGTTTCACACACAGGGCCTTTGCAGACTGCTAGAAATAGTGCAAACTGAGTCTACTTTAAGGGTTAGGGAATCATGGGAACTGTATTTTATTGTGGCACCAGAGCTCTCTGACAGAGAAGGCTCAAATGTCTCAGAAAAACAACAACAACAACCAATTCCCATGATTCCCTAGCACTAACCCTAACCCTTAAAGTGGACTCAATTTGCACTATTTCTGGCAGTCTGCAAAGGCCCATGGTCTTGTCAAGCCAGGTGTCTCCGTCCTATATCTCTGCATGTCATTTTTCCTGCCTAAGTGCAGTACCTTAAATTTCTCCGTGTGGAAGTTCATTTTGTTAGTTCTGGCCCAGCTTTCTAACCTATCAAGGAGCAAGGTAACGCCTTGGAAGGGCAATATAAGGCCCAGGCTTCCCCTCAGCCGAGGAGAGGGCTCCCTGCGAAGCCCCGAAGGGGAGAGGCCGCCCCCTACCTGATGACGGAGATGAGGAGGCCCGAGGGGTCCTTGCTTTTACTCATGGTGCTCCTGAATCTCCCACTCGCCTCAGAGGCCGCCATTTTAGGACTCAGCCTTCACTGCCCACGGTTCGGCCCCGCCCCGCGCCCCGCTCCTCTTGGCCAATCCGCAGCCGCGTTGCTCAAGGACCAACCTATTGAGGCCGCGGAAAGGCAAGGAGAGCCCGCCCAGTCCCCGTACGTCTTGCCGCGGTGCATTCTGGAACGTGTAGTTCGTCAAGCTCTGAGGTGGAAGAGATGCAGGAATGAGGGAAGGCAGAGGATGCTCAAGGTCCCCAAAGGCCCTGAAGAAGAAGCACTGTCTGAGACCTCCACCTCTTTATTTTTGCCCCCCCATATTATTATTATTATTATTATTATTATTATTTACAATATAATAAAATATATTTTAATTCACTCTGACTTTTACTAGTAGGAAGCTGTTGAAGGTTGACTCTCCCTTTTCCAAAATGCTTGGGACCAGAAATGTTTTGGATTTCAGAGTTTTGGGGGTTTTTGTGATATTTGCACATACATAATGAGATATCTTGGACACAAGTCTAACCATGAAATTCATTTATATTTTGCATATACACCATATACACTTAGTTTTGAATGTATTTGGTGCTTTAATTGCCTTTTTTGTCTTTAAAAAAAACTTTTTAATCTTTTTAAAGTCTTTTAAAAAACGTTTCTGTTTGTGAGACAGGTTGGGTGCCTTTCTGGGAGAAAGGAGGCATAAAAAAATAAAATAAAATAGCCTGAAGGTAATTGAGAGACAGTGTGGTTTAGTGGTTTGAGCATTGCACTAGGACTCTGAGGTTCAAAACACACTCCAGAAATAATCCAGTTTGAGACCGCTTTAACCACCCTGGCTTAGTGCTAGGGAATCCTAGGAATTGTAGTTTGTTGTGGCACCAGAGCTCTCTAACAGTGGAGGCTCACTGTCTCACAAAACTAAGTTCCCAGAATTGCCTAGCATTGAACCAGAGCAGTTAAAGTGGTCTCAAATTGGATTATTTCTGCAATATGTTTTGGACCTGAGAGACAAGATCACTGAGTGATCTTGGGCAAGTCACACTCTCTCAGCTTCAGAGGATGGCCATGGCAAACCTCTGAAGAAACTTGTCAAGAAAACCCCATGATAGGTTCACCTCAGGGTTGTCACAAGTCAAAAATAACTTGGAGGCACACAAAAATGAGATATCTTGGACCCAAGTCTAAACTTGAAATTCATTTCTGTTTCCTATACACCTTATACATATCACCTGAAGGTAATTTTATACATAATATTTTAATATTTTTGTGCATGAAACAAAGTTTGTGCACACTGAACAACCAGAAGGCAAAGGTGTCACTATCGTAGCCTCCCATGTGGACAATTTGAATATTTCAGATTTTGGAATTCCAGATAAGGGATACCCAACCTTAATTATTATCACTACTGCCACTTCTGATAAGCCTGCATGGTGTAGTGGTTTGAGCATTAGACTGTGATTTTGGAGGCCAGGGTTCAAATCCCAGCTCAGCCATGTATGAGAGGGTATTGTAAAGTTTTAATTACCATTTTTAAAAAATTGGCAGAAAGTTTGATTTGTAGTTGTTAACTTAATCTCTACATAGTCACCATCCAGATTTACATATTTTTTCAGCGTTGCTTGACTCTCCGAATACTTGATATTGTAGAAGCCTGCAGATTGCGCCTTGCAAGGGGGCATCGTAAAGTAATAATTATCACCCAGAAGTTATTATGGTATATTGAGGGACTGCACTGCAAACATACGATGGCTAATGGAGCACACCAGGAAATTCCAAAAGAAAATCAGCATGTGTTTTATAGACTATAGCAAAGCCTTTGACTACATAGACCATGAAAGACTATGGAACACCCTTAAAGACATGATGGGAGTGCCAGCACATCTGATAGTCCTGATGGACTATCTGTACTCAGGACAAGAGGCTACTCTCAGGACAGAAAACAGAGAAA